GGGTAGAGAGAGTTGGGACGGGGAGGAGTGAATGATGGGTGGAGATGGAGCCCAGAGAGAGAGAACAGTGGATAAACAAAGGAATGGGTAGAGGTCAGCCTGGGGGAATCAGTAGCTGCTAATGGGGACCATGAGGCTGACAGTGGTTTGGTTGTGGTAGCAGCCCATATAATGACAAGGCCTGGTGGGTTGGGGTAAATACATGGGAGAAGGTGCTCAGGCCCTAAAATTATTGAACTCAACATTGAACTTCCAATTGCTGTTTTCTCTCTCTCTCTCTCTATGGGCTTCATTTCCATCTATCATTCACTCCTCTATCCTGCCCCCACCCCATCTTCAGCATATATATCAACCATTTCCTAGCTACAGTTAGTTTTGAAGAAATGTTAGCTCTGCTTTCTCTTCACTGATGCTGCCAGACCTGCTGAGTTTTTCCTGCAGTTTCCGTTTTTGTACCTAACCAGATTAGCTTTATAAATGCTACGGCCAGAGGAACAGGCTGGGAATATTGCAGCGAGTAATTCACCTCTTTACTCCCAAAAGCAAGTCCACCATCTATAAGACAAAAGTCAGGAGTGTAATGGAATGCTCCCCACTTGCCTGGATGGGTGCAGCTCCAACAACACTCCAAAAAAATACTCAAAACCATTCTGGACCAAGCAGTTCAGTGAATTGGTACCACATTCAGCACCTTCAGCTTCACCCACACCCAGAAGTGGCAACAGTGTGCAACCTTTAAAATATTCACTGCAGCAACTTGTGAAGTTTCTTTCCAAACCCACAACCTCCACCATCTTTGAAGAAATAGGCAGCAGATTCATGAAAACTCCATCACTTCCACCAGTAACCAATCACCGCATGCCATCCTGACTTGGAAGTCTATCGCTGTTCCTTCAGTGTCACTGGAACAAAATTCTGGAGCTGCCTTCAATCAGCACCTTCTCAAATGCAAGTAGGATCTTGCCAAGAATGTCCGTGTCACAACAGTGAATACAGACATCAATGCAGAACTAGTTTATTAAAAGTCTGTCCCAAGATTTTAAATTCTCTTTTAAATATTGTATTATCCAATGTACTTTTCTAGCTGCTGCTATTTTGGTTTCAAATATTTCTGGTGTTTACAATACTGTGGGTGACAGACCTTAGCCGAACAAACCTTTCTGTTTCTATTGTCTGACACCACGTTGAATGCCACCACAGTACTATCCACCAATATACCCAGTCAGTGTGAGGTTATAATCTAATCTAGTGACAGAATAATGACAGAATCTTTGGTCTGCTCTGGAATAATCATGTAGCAGTTGGTAATGATGAACATGAAGAAATCTGGCATTGACTATGTTGTAAGATGCCAAATGTCTGTGTTTTCTTTGGAAAAACTATGTGAAGGGAGTAATGTGCAGGTTCAAAATGTGCTGAGAACAAAAGCCCATTTCTTTTGAAAAAAATCACTCTTCAGTTTTTGCATTCAGACCAGCTTTCAACTGATGTTAATACAAATCGGCTTTTGATTTTGTTAGGTATATAATCAGGATTGCCAGCATTAAGAAAACAATCTTAATCTTGTTCCATCTGGCCAGATGGTTTTTATTACCCCCACTTATGAAGGTAATGGAGGTAATGCTTTTGCAAATGTTTGTTGGTCTGTAAATATTATATCTCAAAACTAATAGGTAGATTTCCATGAAACTTGATGCACAAATTCGACATTGGTCCAAAAAAAAACTGGTTACTTTTTGGTGAAAATCCAGATCCTGCAATTTTTAAAATGATCTACTAACATTGGAAGATAGGGGAAATCAATTGTTTTTTAGACTGACAGAGAATATTGATTGTTTTAAAATGTTGTGGATTGACTCAGATGCTGTGGAGATGGTTATCACACAGCTGTTTATCAAAATGTGAACAGAGTTTTCAGAGCAGGTTGTTCGGTGTGGATTGGCTTGAAGCTTCTTTTTAATACTTTTTTTAGCTATGTAGTTACAGAATATCAACCAGGCAGAGAAAAGCTTCAAGGAAATCAGTATAATTGTAATCATACTGAGTTAACACAGCATGGCAGAGGTATATGGTAGAGTGCCCTCTTCACTTTGCATTACACAGGCAGTAGCTTTTTAGCATTGCTAAGCAGGAGCTGTGGGCCTGTGCTGTTTCAATCTTTCATTTGTTTCCAACAACATTGTGAGTATGTTTGCACCAAGGCACACAGTGTTTGCATCATGGAAGAATGTCCCATTTATTTCCTTATGGGATTCTGATTGCACTAGTTTGGCTTAATTATTTCCTGTGCTAACTGTATATGTAGCTTCTCGGAGCAAGAATAACAATCATGTTACATTTTGAGATTATTCTATGGCTGTACAGGACATTGGTTAGGCCACTGCTGGAACACTGCATGCAATTCTGGTCTCCCTGCTATAGGCAGGTTGTGAAACTTGAAAGGGTTCAGAAAAGATTTACAAGCATTTTGCCAGGGTTGGAGGGTTTGAGCTAAAGGGAGAAGCTGAATAGGCTGAGGCTATTTTCCCTGGAGCATCGGAGGCTGAGGGTTGACCTTATAGAGGTTTATAAAATCATGAGGGGCATGGATAGGGTAAATAGACAAGGAGCTTTCCCCGGGGTGGAGAGTCCAAAACTAGAGGGCATAGGTTTAAGGTGAGAGGGGAAAAATTTAAAAGGGACATGAGGGGCAACTTTTTCAGGCAGAGGGTGATGCATGTATGGAATGAGCTGCCAGAGGAAGTGGTGAAGGCTGGTACAATTACAACATTTAAAAGGCATATGGATGGGTATATGAATAGGAAGGGTTTAGAGGGATATGGGCCAAATAATGGCAAATGGGTCTAGATTTATTTAGGATATCTGGTCAGCATGGATGAGTTAGACCAAAGGGTCTGTTTCCATGCTGTATATTTCTATGACTCTATGCATTTATCCCCACTCAGTTTACCAGAGAAAATAAGGTGTTAACAGACTATACAATATCCACCGTCACAAAAGCTGATACATGGGCTATACAAAAATCAGTTCTGCCATTGCTACTTCAAAATCTGCTGCTGGAATATGCATAAAAACTTCTGTGAGACCCTTGTTTTAAATTTCCTTTCTGGTGCAAGTGTAAAATACATCCACACTGCCCTGCAAAACTAACTGTGTTTCAGAACGAATCTGTACATTGACTGAGGTAGGAAATGAATCAGAACTTCACCTGAGGTGAAGTGTTTGAGAAAGTAGGGAACATGGTGACTTAGATTTTCGATATGCCAGGGACTGTACATGGAAGATGATGGAAATGGATCAAGATCACAAATCTGGATCCTGAACCTGGGACCCCTCTCATTTCCACAGGGATGGGAATGGAGGTGGCTCTGGCTTCATTATGTGGGGTTCTCGAAGACAGCTATACATTTAAATTCTCAGTTGTCTCTGTTTAAATCCCATTTTGGCTGCACTGAACACCGAGGGTATAGGACAGACCAGGTAAGAGCTGGTACATTTTCACTGCTTTTCTCTTGGATAGCTGGAGGACCCTTTTGGAGAGCTGAGATATCCCTGTGGATGCAAACCGGAACACCTTGGGAGTGGGTTCAGTTATCCTTTGCAGTGGCCAAGTTAGATCAGTTATCCTTTACAAGTGGGAGGGAAACCTTCAGGGGAAGGACATGGATCCTCTGGGGGAAAAGTCGCGTATTTTTTCGGAGATGTCAGGTGCCCTTTAACTGAGGAAAAGATTGTGCATAAAAGATGCAGAAACTGTTTGGGATCAAGAACTGTCAAGAAGTGTTGAACTGTCTAGAACTGTCAAAATGTGCTTTTTCTATAAATGAGTGAGCATTCCTCAATAGAGTATAGTCAGGAATATAGAACTTTTAAGTGATATATAACTTTTTTTTCCTCCTGTGTGCATGGGTGTTTCTGGATATTAAGTGAGTTGGTCTGGTAGGTGAAGGGGAAAGGGTGGTGGGTGAAAGTGGCATCAAGTTGTCATGAGGGTATGAAGGACCATGGGAGAGGTAGAGGGCATAAAGTGGCATGGGTTTGCATAGGTGTGGTATGAGGAGTGTGTGGGGTTGGTGGGTGTGAGGGGAATGTTTTATCTTCTTTAATTTTAATTTTTAAACATAACGCTGGAGCCCTGAGGCAGGCATCAGAGCCCAGCAGCATTCCCAGGTCACCCGGCCAATCCAGCCCACTGCCTGTCGAGTGCAGGCAGCCATTTTTAAAGGTTGGGTTCACTGAGCTGCAAACCCTCCCACCTCTGTGCACTTGACACAGCAATGAAAACCAGAGCCAGTGGGTTCATTACTGCTCGATCACTTCTTACACCCAAGTTCAAATCAATGCCAGATACAGTGAAGTTCTTATTCTACATAAAACAACTTTGTACGTCCTCAGCCCAGTTCATGGAGCCTATATGCTTCTATCCAACATGGCGGTACACGTTCAGAGTCACTGAGAGAGACCACTAGGACTTTTTTTTTTAATTTGGAAACAAAGAGGGAATTTTTACTGTGTTCAACTGTGCTACATCAGACTGAGGTACTTGATGTTGAAATACATTGAGTTGTGTTTTCCAGTACATCCCTCATTATGACAAGCACAAAAATGTCAGAAAGGTTAAAAAGATCCAGCTTTTGAAGTGAAGAATTGGCTCGTGTAATTTTAGAATAATTGGATTTGATTAAGTGTGTGAAACGTGTTTATTTTGTCAATTTAAAAAAAAGTAAGATGCAATTACATCATTGACTAGAAAATGCACTATCAAAAATGATGAATTTTAAGCTCCGTTTAGTGTTCATTCCCTAGTGGCCCATTAATGCTTTAAGTCCCTTCACTTTTTTGAAGTCCATTAACTATTATTTATTGATGATGAACTCTTTTTCTATTATTTCTTAAGGGCACATTTTAATGTAAATCAAAAAGGTTTGAAAAGCCATAAACATGTAACATACACTAAGAGCTTAAGTGTGATAATAAATTCACATTCATTATAGACTTACAATTCTCCCCTTTGAATTTGTAATGTTCTTCCTCTCTTGACAATTCATCACAGAAGTGAACAATGATCCAGCCACAAATTGCTCCATAGTTTTAATTAATGGTGCTCCTTTCTTGGCTGGCAAAACAGGATAAAAAAAAGTCATTGGTATATGATTGATATAGAATGTTGCACAGTCACCTGACATTGTGTCCTCCTTAGGCTGAACAGCTTTAGATCGAAATCAAAGCCAGACCCTCATTGCAATCAAGGAAGCACTCTGAAATGCTTGCTTATCTGCAGTATTATCAGATTAGGGAGGCTAGGAAACCTGATCTATCGGGAAGTTTCGCTTAAGGAAAATGATAAACGTCACAAAATTCTTATTTTCCTTTGGCAATGAAGTTAAGAACACCTTAAGTTTCCTACAGGCATAAGTTGCATTCAGTTTAAATGCCATAGACATTGCCAAGCAGCTAGCATCTGTGTCTCTCTTGTGGACAGTTTTCTGGTTTGGTGATTGCAAGATGATTTTGGGGCAGATTGCAATTGGGCAGGCCGCAGGCTCAGAGACATTCATTGACCCAGGAAGAGTTCTCCTGCTTCTCTGGGACCTAGAAAAATAAAAACTCAGAATTTGGTAGTTGTATTGTTGAACAACCAACAGTGGTCTGTGTAAGGATCATGAGTAATACATTTGAATAGCCTTATACTTGGTCCAGGAAGGTGAGGAGCTCACCATTTACAAGTCTCACCTGAATATGGCATCGAGCAGGCAATAGACTAAGGTAACTCTCCACTTTTAAGGCACTAAATGACAAGTATTGAGTTGAATCTCTTTTCTTTCCTTGCTCGTTGTTGCATTCCTTGTCTTGAACCATTAGGTTCATTTTCAAACTGTGCTCACTGTGAAATATTAACAATGGTACAATGTAGAAATACAGGAGAGCCTCAAGGAACTAAATGCAATTACTGACTCAGAGATAGTAGGAACTGCAGATGCTGGAGAATCTGAGATAACAAGGTATAGAGCTGGATGAACACAGCAGGCCAAGCAGCATCAGAGGAGCAGGAAAGCTGATGTTTCGGGCCTAGACCCTTCTTCAGAAAAGGTCAGCCTTCCTGCTCCTCTGATGCTGATTGGCCTGTTGTGTTCATCCAGCTCTATACCTTGTCATCTCTGCAATTACTGCCTGTTCAGTGCTGACCCCATTCGAAATCTTTGTGTATCTTTACCAAATGATAAACTGAATCTTATGCAATGTATCTGTATTTGGAAAACAAATAGAAGAAAGAATGTTTGTCGAAGACACTCCCCTTTGTTATTATGGTTATTTATCCTTGATGCCATTTATCATTTATCAATTTTAACTGCTGCCTATTACCTTTCTGTTTTCCATTTCTTTTTCACCGTTGCATTTGAGCTGTTTTGTGAAACTGGTTCACCAAGCCCTCTGTCAGCAGCCCTCAAAGGAGTTACAGGATAGCTCGACATGTGAATGTTGCAATGAAATGCCATGAATAAATATGTTGAGAGCAAGTACAAACAGAGCTCGACCATTTGGTTTTGTGTTTCATAAGCACAGCATGCCCGCACAAAATATTATAGAGCCTTCCTTTGTTTTAGTCTAAGCTTGCCTTTTATGTATGGAGAGCTTATGCAATGTTGTTGCCACTTTGTTGCTTCAGAAACTGACTTGTGTTGTGTACCACAGAAAACAATTGATGGCCAGGAGCAATTATTGCAATTCACAGTGTTCGGTATTTAAAAGGTGCTGCACAAATTGTATAAAAGGTATTTAATTGCGATGTATTCTTCTTCTAGCCGTAAGAAATGACAGAAACAAAAAGAAAAAGGAGACGCCAAAGCAAGAATGTTCAGAAAGCTACACGATGACAGCAGAGTTGGAGGATCTTATTGAGAAGATTCGCAAAGCTCACCAGGAGACCTTCCCTTCTCTTTGCCAGCTGGGGAAATACACTACAGTAAGTATTGGACCACAGATGTTTGGTGCTTTGAACTGTTGATACATCATCCTAATTGAGAAAACACATTTACATCATAAGGGAAAAGAGAAATACTCCAATTATTGGAAATTATGAAATAAAAAAACAGGAAAAACTCAGCAAGTCAGGCAGCCTTTTTGGAGAGAGAAACAAAAAAAATTAACATTTTAAATTGATGGCTTCTGATCAGAACTTATTAAGGACTTAGCTCAACAGTGATTATGTTAATGCAAGTAAAAATTTCAGAGATATTGCTGTAGAGTACAGGAGAACCTAAACCATAACCTGTGGTACAAGTCAGAAATTAAAAGGTCGATTGTCTAAACTGGGAGCTTCTAAGTGCATGACCTTTGGGAGTGTGGAGGGCTAATGACTGCAAGAAGTTCAGCATCCATCCTTTATAAAGGCAGCAGGTTCACTAAAGGGGAAGTACTTCGAAAAGCCTTGTGCTGGAATTATATTATTATCACTGGTTTGTACAGCACATTGAAGATTAATTTTTTTTAAAAAGATTTTGTCAGCTAATTCTGAATAATGGAAAATAATGGAATCCGTTATGACAGCCACAAGTTAAAAAGAAGACAATCACTGCTGATCCCAGCTATTTTAAAGTGCCTGCCAACAGTAATTATCTTTATGCTGCTGTGTCACAGTGAGACAGTATCAGTGTCTTGGCAGTCTGACAGTAACAGTGTCGTGTAGGCTCTTGGTTCTCCTACACACCATCCTGGAGAAAGATATCAACTGGGCAGCACTGTGGCGCTAAGTAGTAGCAGAGAAACATGGAACGTAAGTGAAGTATTGAGAGTGATAATAAGTAATAATTGTCTGATTGTAAGCGTCTTCTTATCCCAGATATTACGAAATGGATGCCTGCTCATCAAGAGGGGAGATATCTGTTATAAACAGTTGTGGGTGGCTTTGAATGTGATCAGGAAATATTTCTCCAGCAGTTGTGAGGAGTATTTGCAGTTGCTGCTTCTTGACTGCCTGCAGAAATGCCCTATTTGAGTTTATAGCAGTCAACATAGCCTCTGCTAGTAGATGCAAAAGACTAATTGCATTCTGCAAGAAGTGTTGAAACAGGAGTATGAGGTGTTACTGGAACAGTCTGTTCTGAAACTGCACCTGGAACTACACGTGATTAGAAATTATAAGATAGCGTTGTTAATTGCAAGAGGAATTAAGTACAGAGTAAGACATTACACTTTGGTTGTACGGGGCATTGGTAAAATTGCATCTGGAGTGTTGTGTACAGCTTTGGTCACCTTATTTAAGGACAGATGTAAATGCATTTGTTTGAGATGAGGGAAGGTTTACTGGACTGACACTTGGAAAGTTGGCTTATGAGAAAGATTGGACAGGATCGGTTTGTATCTGCTGAAGTTTTAAGAGTACGAGTCGATTTGATTGAAACATATAAGATTCTTTGTGGCCTTGAATGGGCGTAGCTGGAAAGCATGTTTCTTCTTGTGGGAAAATCTAGAACTAGGGCTCACTGTTTAAAAATAAGGGTTTGTCTGTTAAAACAGATTGTGGGGGTTTTATCCTACAGAGCATCGTTTGGAATATCTTCACAAAACACAGTGGAAACAGAGTTTTTGAATTTTTTTTTGAGGCTGGGTAGGTAGATTCCTGATAAGAGGGTGAGAGGTTATCATGGGAAGGCAGAAATATGAAATTATCAGATCAGCTGTGATCTTAATGAATGGCAGTATGAGCTCAAGGGGCTGAGTGGCCTAGTCCTGTTCCTAATTTGTATGTTCACATCTGAATGCAGAGGCATCTGGTGCTCATTTGCAAGCAGTTTTAAATGCTGGGATCCCAATTGAGCCGAGTTGGTGGCATTTTAAGTACCTAAAATAGGCATCAGTTAGTTAGGCAAACTCCTTATACCCAATCAGCACAGGTATCCAATCTCGTGTTGGCTTGGTCAGATATGATTTGGTCTTTTTGTTTTAAGATGACCAAAGTGAGAACTGGCCTCAATTCAAACTCGAAATGAGGTTCCTGCACTCAGTTCAGATGCAGACTCTGGAATTTGTTTATATTCAAGGAGTTTGCAAATCACAGGGTTTAAGCAACTTGACAGTGTAGGAGCCTCTGGAAGAAGTGCTTCAAAAATTCAGAAACGCTTTCACGTTTTGTGCAGTCGGAAGGGAAAGCACCAGGCTCCCTGGTTCCTGAAAACATCTGCAAGATGCTACAGATCTTTTGCTGGATCCTTTCCTGCTTTATATTTCACGGGCAGTTGCCGCGGAGGTAAAGGGAGTCTCAGCTGTCGGCTTAAGAACAGACAAGAGCTCCGCGTTGTCACCTTTTAGAAAGTCCGACCATATCTTGTTCCGCTAAAGCACTTGACAGGCCAGCAGGCCCTGTGTCTGACAGCTCTATTGAGTGGAAGCACCACCAGCGAGGTGCTGCCTGCTGCCTGTACCACATTCACCTGACAACCACAACCATCACTGGATCGCAGGCCGGAAGCGAGTGATGGTGGGAGGGTAGGTCTCTGCTTAATGTCCTGGGGGAAGGAACTGGCAGCAAGGGCCGGAAGGTGGCTCAGTGGACTCTCCTTTCCTAATACAGTGCCTCCTGATAAAGCACTTTGAAAGAGTGAATCCTCTTGGAGCCTTCAAATTAACACACAGAGCAGCCCAGCGTGGCGAGTCCTGCAGCCCCTGCTAAGATAATCCCAGCAATGGCGGGAGAAAGCTCCTAAAGGCATTATTTACCAAGTTAGGAGCCTCAATTGGCAACAGAGTGGACCCTCCATGATCTTTCCTGCTCTCACCTGATGAAATACTCTCCATGCCACCAAACTGGCCATAGTGGGTGTCATAAGATTCTGCCTCATATTTCAATTAATGTTTGTGATGGCAGAATAGAGTCGGGGGTGTCAATGAATTGCATTTATTGTGATGTTCCAAAACTTGGGATATCCTCCATCAGTGAGTAGCATTATAAAGAATATGAGAAATAGCAGTAAGAAGTATAATTCTACAGTTATGTTTTCATATTAAACATTGTGACCATTTCAAAAGAAGGATTTTGTATGAGATATAGACTGGCTATTCACTAATGAATGGTGTCATAGTGCTAAGAGTATTGTGCACTATTGTTAGGATTTGAAGGGTCTTGCAACTCAGTTATAGGCCATTCAGCTCATTGAAGTGGAATCAAATCTTTTGAAAGAACTATCTGTTCAGTTCCTTTCCGCTGCCCTTTCTCCAAACTCTTTCAAATTGTTCTTCTTGAAATGTTAATCTACTTAGCATTCAAAAGCAATGACAGATTGTGCTTTCACTACTGTTTCTGGTGAAGCATTCTATATCTGAACAGCCTTGTGGACAAAGAAATGTCCCCTTACCTCTTCCTTTCCTTTTCTTAGTAACAATCATAAACTTATGTCTCTTATTCACATATTCAGTCAACAATGAAATAATTTACCCAGTCCCCTAAATCAAAATCTTCCATCATTTTGAAAATATTTCGGCTCTGTTCTTAACCCCTATTCTTTCAGTAAGGAGAGCTCAAATGTTCCAGTCTATCTGCATAATTAAAGCTGTTCATTACTGGTGTCATCTTAATCAGTAGTTTCTTTACAGTCTCCAAGGTCTATTGTAGAGTATCTAAAAATGGACACAATATTCTAACAACAGCCCTGACCATAATTAATAAAATTTATAGATACTTATTTGCTTTTGAACTCGATGCCTCTATGCATAACAGTCTAAATAGCTTTATTTTCATAAATTTAACAGCTGTATAATTTCATAGGTTTAAATATCAGGCTCACTGACTGTCTCTGTTCTTCTCTGCTCTGAAAATTTTTCATCAGTGTACATTTTCTCTCAATCTTCCTCCAAAACATTTTATCTCCATGAAGTTTCATCTGTTCAATTGATTAATTGCTGCTAAATTTGCAGTTAACTATATTCTTGTTTTTGCTTAGTCTGCAGGTTTTGGTGTTGTGTCCCTTATTTTCAAGTCCAAATCGAATTTGAACAATGTGCAATAAACCTTATTCTCTGACCCTCAGCTAACTTTCCAACCACACTGCTGTATATCCTCAAGACCATGAAACTTAACTTATTCAACAAACCTTATGTGCAGCACATTCTGAAAATACATATACACTACATCCACCGCATTTTCTTTATTCCAATACATGCCCTTACTTTTTCAAAGGACCATGTGAGAATTTCCAAGTGAAATTTGCCTTTTACAAATCGATTTTGGCAGTCTGGGTTTGACTCGTGTCACTAAGTGGATATTCATTTTATCATATACTGTTATCTGTAGATTTAGATTTTTATTGTCATGTGCACTCAAGTACAAAAGTACAGGAATACAGTGAAACATGTATAATGTCACCACACAGGACGCCATCTTAGTTTACAAGTGCCTAGGTACAGCATCATAACAGCAAGGTAGAAAGAAAGAACAAAGTTGGAAGTTTAAAATTGCAGTACAAAAATTAAGAAATA